TTTGCCAAAGAGATTAACATTTGAGTCAAGGAGCTGGGAAAGACAGACCCGCCATTAATCTGGGTGTGCAGAAGCGAATCCGCTGCCAGCATGGCTAGAATATAAGCAGACAGAAAGATGCGCAAAAGAGACTGGCTTAGTCTCCCGGCCTACATCATTCTCCTGTGCTGGATGCTTCCTGCCCTTGAACATCGGACTCCAAACTCTTCAGTTTTGGAACTTGGACTGGCTCTTCTTGCTCCACAGCCTGCATACAGCCTATTGTGGGACTTGTGATCCTGTGAGCTAATAGTTAATAAACTCCATTAGTTCTGTCCCTCTGGAAAATACTGACTAATACACTAATCCACAGGATGGAGAAATAGGGACTCCTTCCTAAATAATTCTATGAATCCAGTGTCACCCTGAATCCAAAATGAGGGAAGGACGTAACGAAACAAGAAATCTACAGACCAATATCCCTGATGAACATAGATGCAAAAATCTTAAACAAAATACTTGCTAACCGAATCCAACAGCTATCAAATCACAGTCCACCATGATGAAGTGGGTTTCTTACCAAGGATGCTTGGAGGGTTTAACATACAAAGTCAATAAATGTAATATATCACATAAACATAATTAAAAACAAAAATCACATGATTATTTCAATAGATGCAGAAAAAGTATTTGAAAAAATCCAGCATGGCTTCATGATTAAAACCCTCTGCAAAATTGGCATAGAGGAGACATAGCTTATGGTAATGAAAGCCCTCCACTGCAAGCCCACAGCCAACATTATACTGAACAGAAAGAATTTAAAAGCATTTCTTCTGAGAACTGGAACAAGACAAGAATGCCCACTTTCACCACTTCTGTTCAACATGGTACTGGAAGTCTTAGCCAGAGCAATCAGACAAGAGAAAGAAATTAAGGGCATCCAAATTGGTAAAGAGGAAGTCAAACTGTCACTGTTTGCTTATAATATGATCGTATACCTAGAAAACCTTAAAGACTCATCCAAAAAGCTCTGAGAACTGGTGAGTGAATTCAGCAAAATTTCAGGATACAAAATTAAGACACACAAATAAGTAGCTCTGCTGCACAACAGCAAACAAGCTGAGAATCAAATCAAGAACTCAACCCCTTTTCCAAATAGCTGCAAAAATAAAAAATACTTAGGACTATTCCCCACCAAGTAAATGAAAGACCTCTACAAAGAAAAGTACAAAACACTGCTGAAAGAAATCATAGATGACGCAAACAAATAAAAACACATCCCATGCTCATGAATGGGTAGACTCAATATTGTGAAATGATCATACTACCTAAAGCAGTCTAGAAATTCAATGTAATGCCCATCAAAATACCAACATCATTTATCACAGAACTAGAAAAAACAATCCTAAAGTTCATATGGAACCCAAAAAGAGCCCACATAGCCAAAGCAAGACTAATAAAAAACAAACAAACGAACAAACAACAACGACAAAATCAAATCCAGAGGCATCAGACTATACTCTCGGACATCCTGTTCAACAAATGGTTCTGGGATGATTGGCAAGCCAAATGTAGAAGAATAAAACTAGATCCTCATCACTCAGCTTATACAAAAATCAACACAAGATGAATCAAAGACTTAAATCTAAGGCCTGAGACCAAAAAAATTCTAGAAGATAACATTGGAAAAACTTTTCTAGATATTGGTTTAGGCAGACTTCATGACCAAGGTCCCAAAAGCAAATGCAACAAGAACAAAAATAAATAGATGGGACTTAACTAAACTAAAAAGCGTCTACACAGCAAAGGAACCAATTTGCAGAGTTAACAGACAACCCAGAGTGGAAGAAAATCTTCACAATCTATATAGCCAACAAATGACTAAAGTCTAGAATCTACAAAAAATTCAAACAAATTATCAAGGAAAAACTAAACAATCTCATTCAAAAGTAGGCTAAGTATGTAAAGAAAAATTCTTAAAAGAAGATATATGAATGGCCAACAGACATAAAGGAAAATGCTCAGCATCATCTAATGATCAGGGAAATGCCAATCAAAACCACAACACAATACCACCTTAATACTGCAAGTATGGCCAATATTAGATGTTGGCATGGATGCGGTGAAAAAAAAACACACACTTTTACACTGTTGGTGGAAATGTAAACTGGTACAACCATTATGGAAAACAAAGTGAAGATTCCTTAAGGAACTAAAAATACATGTACCCTTTCATCCAGTAATTTCATAACTAGGTATGTATCCAGAGAAAAAGAAGTCATTATACAGAAAAGATACTTGCAGAAACATGTTTAACAGCAGCACAATTTGCAATTGCAAGAACATGGAACCAGCCCAAATGCCCATAAATCAACAGATGGATAAAGGAAATGTTATACATAGGCATATCATGGAACACTACGCAGGCATAAAAAGGAACAAAATAATAGCATTCACAGCAACCTGAATGGAATTGGAAACTGTTATTCTAAGTGCAGTAATGCAGGAATTGAAAACAAAACATTATATGTTCTCACTCATAAGTGGAAGATAAGCTATGAGAACACAAAGGCATAACAATGATACAATGGACTTTTAGGACTCAGAGGAAATAGTAGAAGGGGGGTGAGGGATAAAAGACTACTCCCCGGGTACACTGTACATTGCTTGGTTGATGAGTGCACCAAAATCTCAGAAATTATGATTAAAGAACTTATTTATGTAATCAAACACCACCAGTTCCCTAAAAACCTATTAAAATAACAAATTAATATTTAAAAAGAAAAAAAACACTAACATCCTTAAAAACCCAAATAAATAAATACGTAAGTAAATAAATCAAATATGAGAACCTCTTCCAGTACAGAGAGAACCAGAGGCAAGAGATGAGGAAGGAAGAATCCGGACAAGCCCTCGCAGACTCTCCTATCACCTTAGATGAACATCACTCCAAGAGTTTCATTTTGATGGACGATCAATTCAAACTTTAAAATAAGTAAACAAAATCAGGAATAATCAACCTAACGGCCCTCAAAGGTAGTCATGAGCCCTCTATGGGATGGGTGCAATTCAGCAAGCACAGGAAGAGTCTCCAAAGAAATTTGCAGAGTAAAAGAAGCCAGAACAAATGGAAAGATAATGTTTGATAACACTGTTACATTCCAGAAAATGGAAACCAAACAATAGTGACAGAGGCAGATCTGTGGCTGCACAGGAGAGCACTGGGGAAGGGAGGGAGGGAGATGACAAAGGGTCATGAGGGGTTGCTGGGGCTGGTCACAGATTGCATAGCTCCCTGTTCATGGTGATGTATTCAAGGATCAAAAAAATGTCAAAATGTGTATACTTTCCTATTATAAATCTGGGTGTTTCATTAGATGTGCATTATTCCTACTTTCTTATTATAAATCTGGGTGTTTCATTAGATGTGCATTATTCCCACATGAAAGGAGTTTTATTAAAACAGAATGGACTGGGGAGAAAAGAAGCAGAGGGATTCACACTGGGGAGCAGGGGGAGGAAGACACCACTCTGGAAACTCCTGGAAATGGGAAAAGGAGGATGATGGAGACACAGGCTCCCCATCAGAGGTGGGTCTGTGATGACACAGATGGACCTGCCACCTCAGCCCAGGACCTCAGTGCAGAGACCCTGAGTCCCAAGCTGCAGGGAGCAGGATGTTCCTTTTCCTGGACACTCTGTTGCTGAGTCTGAGGACTAAAGAGGAGGAGGAGCCTCCATTCTCAGGCAGGACCCTGCATGCCCCTGGACCCATGGAGGAAGCTACAGCAGCAGAAGCCACAAGCCAGGCCTGAGCAGCAGGTGCCGGGGCTCACCCTTCAGGCAGAGGAGGAAGGGGGTTCTTGTCTCACTTCCCCCTGGCCCTGGAGCACTGTGGGACCGCTCAGGCTATCATCCCATGCTGCGCAGTAATAATCAGCCTCATCCTCGGACTGCAGCCCACTGATGGCCAGGGAGGCTGAGTTGCCAGACTTGGAGCCAGAGAATCGATCAGGGACCCCTGAGGGTCGCTGATTATTTTTATAGATGAGGAGTTTGGGGGCCTTTCCTGAGAGCTGCTGGTACCAGGATACATAATTACTTCCGATGTTGGAGCTGCTTCCAGAACAAGAGATGGTGACCCTCTGCCCGGGGGCCCCAGACGCTGAGGGTGGCTGAGTCAGCACAGACTGGGCCCAGGACCCTGGAAGCAAGAGAGACACAGACATGGTGATTGACAAGAGACAAAAGGAGACAAGAGGAGACAGCAGGGCCCCATGGGCTTCCCAGGGACCCACTCTTGGTCCCATATCCTGTCACCTGCACAGTGAGTGAGGAGGGTGAGGACGAGAGGGAAGCAGGCCATGGTGGAGATTGTCCTGAGTCCTGTCTTCTCTAGCCACAGCTGAAGCTGAGCTTCCCCCACATCTCTCCCTGTCTTCATACTCTGAAAGGGGGAGAGTCCATGCATGCAAATCAGACCTCCCAGGTTTTTGACTCCGCCCTGAGCCCTAGGTCAGGCTTCTGGGCTTGAGGATGTCAGGAGGTGGCAGGGGTGGCACTTTGTGGTCCCAGGGGGTGGGGAGAACACAGTTGTGAGCCCTGAGCAGAGGACAACAGGCAGAGCAGTTGTTTGGTTCCGCTCCGTTCACCCCCGGTCTTTTTTTCAGAAATGGTCCCCAAGTGCCCCCTAGTGTTCAGACTAAGGCAAACCATTCTATGACCAGGTAACCAGAGCCTCTGAGATACACCCCGAACCCCCCCATTCTGTCCACTGCCCCCACTCCCAAGTCCAGGCCCAGGAAGGTGGCACCTGTGTCACCCTCCTTTGATCTCAGGGCAGTCTTCATACTCTACCGGACTCCTCAGGAGTGGATCTGTCCATGGTTCTTTGGTTGTATATTGCAGAGGACTCAGGTGATGGCTACACAAAGTCCTTTTCTTTCAGAATCAAGTCCACAGTGGGGACTGGCCCCATGGACTCAATTCCCCTCCTGTGTTGGACACCGGGTCCTCTCCTCTCATGTGGCTCCGTCCTGGTGGCCAGAGCTCCACTTCCTCTGTGGATCCTGCAGCGCTGAGGAGAAAGGGAGCTCTTCCCTTTGGATGCCTGGGGAGGGATTCTCAGAGGGATTTTCTGGTAAATCTTTGTTCTCCCTCTGCTTCCCCAGATTTGCAGTCACACTCATCTGGATACTGTGACCAGGGATCTTGCCGAGGACTGTGTCCTCCAAGCACTGAATGCCAGTCCGTGGGGGACCCTGGCAGATGTCTTTGGAGGTTCTCACTCATGAGCAAAAAGAGCAAAGATGTTCAGTCTTTGAAGATGGGAGGAATTGAAATTTTAACTTGGTTTGACGACCGGAGTCTGTCCTCAGGTGAGCCTGATATGTGATAGCTCTTAGCATCGAGCCCCCAACTAGGATTTCTAGGGAAAACTTATGGTTCAAATTCAGTAGTGAGTGTTGTAGGGGTAGCTTGAAGATGATAGAAATTATTCATCTTTGATCTGTAATGACATCTAGAATCTAATAAACTAAAAACAATAAGGTTAAGAAAAAATGTAATTCTGTTGTTTGAAATGAAAAATGAAACAGATGATGTCTATGACTGCGTGAGTTCTGGCATCATACACCCTGGACTCTTAACAAGTATTTTTTTGGGGAATTTTATGGGGATGGAGGAAAATAGCTGCATGGTGATGCTGATATTTATACCACTGAATGTATCATCTGGTAGTTGCAGTACAATGAAATTATTATTATTATTGTTATTATTATTATTATTATTTTTTGTGACAGAGTCTTGGTCTGTTACCCAGGCTGGAGTGCAGTGGTGCAATCTTGTCTCAATGAAACCACCGCTTCCCAGGGTCAAGCAATTCTCCTGCCTCAGCCTCCCAAATAGCTGGAATTACCGGCGCATGCCACCATGCCCGGCTAACTTTTGTATTTTTTTAGTAGAGACAGGGTTTCACTATGTTGGCGGGGCTGGTCTTGAATTCCTGACCTTGTGATTGGCCCCCTCTGCCTCCCAAAATGCTGGGATTACAGGCGTGAGCCACCGCGCCCGGCCACAATGAGATTTTAAATGCTCCATTGAAACAACCAAATAGTGAGATTTATTATAGACATTTGAATAAAACCAATCCATATATGTAACTGACGTAAAATGTATGCTGTATTTTGGGATCTCATTTCAAGGGTGTTGTTATTTTAAATGTTCCATTTTGTGATAGCCATGTTCCTTTACATAGTTTTTATAGTATTTAAAATATGTTTATTGTGTTTACATAACACATCAGGCATATTAAGTTTTATTTATTTCCAAGTAGAAACGAGCTATTAGATCTGGGCTTCACTTCCTGTTTCCTTCTCGTTGCTGTTTCTTTGGTGATGCATAGATGGTCACAGGGAATTTTGTTTTCCTTTCCTTCCACTTTAATGAACACAGGGTCACTGAGGCTGAGCGGTGTCTCACATACAGGACAAGGCTGCCCATGGTCCCCTCCCTGCCCACGGATGCGCTTCCTGGTGGATGCCCCATGAGCTTTTAGGCTGAGGGCAGAGAGAAGAACAGGTCCACAGCTAAGGAACCCGGACACCCAGAGGCTCCGGGCGGAAGGGGCAACAGCTGGACAGTGAACCCAGGACAGAGGACACTGACTATGGACTTTTTATGTGATCCTCCACAGGGACCCTCACAGACAGACCAAAATCCCAGTCCCTGTGTGTCTTGAGGGCCCAGGTCCTTCCAGGTCCTCCTTTTGCCACTGCTGTAGGCCCCAGGCCTCCACCTCCTATGAGTCACAATGGACAGTCTCCTCTTCAGGCTGCACCCTCTTTACCCGATCTGACCCCACACCCATCTCCTCCTTCCCCCATAAACCATCCCCTGCTCACTTCCATTAGCATTTTTGCATCATTCTGGGATCACAGCCTCCCCAAGGATGTCTCTGTAGGATATCCATGGTGCAGAGAGCTCAGCCCTTTGACAGGACCGCTGTGCCTGGGCCACCTAAGGCTGAGCACTTCTCTTGCTTCTCTTCTACACCAACTCTAGGCCAAGCCATATCTAGATCTTTCAGAATGCTGAGCCCACGTTTTCTTAAGAATCAGACTTCCTCTCTCACATTTGGGTCTCTGGGTCACACAGGCTGCATTCTCCTTTCTTGTCATCTTTCCCACAGTTTCAGAGCTCAGGAAATGGCCAGCATACCTGCACCAAAAGGGGCAGTACCTTTCGTACCAGGCCGAAGGCTCCTGGACTGCTGGGTGACACAGGCTGGATTCTTTCTTGTCATCCCCACCTCATCCACACCCACCATGTGTGGGCAGCTCCTTTTGCTTCTAGAAACAAGTTGCTTCTCTTTACATTGGGAGACCAGTAAAAAAAGGTGTTACTGTCACTGAACTCTTGCTCTGCTTTCAGTAACACAAGTGACAGCAGAAGCCTTGGCATGAACTGGTGTTCGTCACAGGCAGGGATAAAGGAGGGATGGGCAGAGAGGATGAGTGGGGCAGATCTTCTCTCATTTGCCCATGGAACAAGAACCCTTGGTAACACGGAGCCAGGATGCAGCTGTGTGACACTGACAAACAGCCTGCCCTCAGGCTGGAGCCCAGGGGTTGTCCAGGAGGCTGTGTGAATAAACCCAGGGCAGGAGAATCAGGCTGGGACCCCTGAAGCACCATCACTGCTGTCCTAGGTCACAAACGTAGGTGCTCTTTCTAGGAAGGAATGCCCAGTGTTTCTGCGGCTCCCCATGCAGTAAAAGGTGACATTGAGATGGGGGTTTTCTCAAGAGTTTCCTGAGGAGGAGTCACTTGAAGCAAATATTGGGCAGTTTCTGTACCAGGATATTCCACAGACTCACCACTAGACCCTGACTCAGTGAGAGCCTCCAATGGTGTAAGAGAGGAGAAGAGAACACAGTCAGGCCCTGAGGGATCAGGAAACCCACCCTCAGCAGTTCCCGTGGTCCTGAGTGGGATGAGCTGCAGGAAAGTCACATCCCTGGGACCTACTTCCCCCGTGGCCAAGGAGCAGCCTCAGCCTCGTCTCAGCCATGGTGCAGCCTCCCCTTGACTCTCTCATGTCCTACCTAGAGGTTCACTGGCCTCAGGCCCCCAGTTACCCTTAGACCTAACCCCATCTCCTGACATTTCCAGTGAAATGCAGGTACCCAGGACTGAGCCAGGTCAGCAGTGTATCTGGAATTCTTCCCTGACTTGTGTCCTCAGGCAGCATTTCATATTTGAGTGCCTTGTTCCTGGGACACAGTAAACCTCAGATATCCCTGAGAACAGACAACTGGGGATGGAAGGGGAGGTCTCTGCTTGTACGCCGGAAGAGCAGAGTCCATGCTGCAGGCCACTGTTCACCTGCTACCATGTCCCCAGGCTCTGAGCATGATGCGAACTAGGAAAGCCTCATTTTGCTTCTTTCAAAACAAAAGCCCAGCTCCACAGCCACTGGTGTCAGCACACATGGACAAGTAGCCAACACTTCAGGGTCATCAGGTGCTTTGGTTTTGTTTTGTTTTACTGAGACTTCAGAAGGATGGATGGGAAATTGACAGAAGCACCTTTGACAACTAGAAAGTAATTCCAAATGTAGTTTGTGCCTAGGTTGGTTATTTTAAAAATTTAAAACTATTACGGAACAAGACCCAGATCAGGGTGAGGTTTTTGTCCCACTTCCCCATCTGTGTGTGTCACTGTGAGATACATTGTTGTGCCAAGTCGTACAGTAATAGTCAGCCTCATCCTCAGACTGGAACCCAGAGATCAGTAAAATCCCTGCATTGGCCGAAGCATCTTTGGATCCAGAGAAGCGACTGGGGACTCCAGAGCCCTGGCCCTTATTTGAGTCTGAGTAGTAGTACAGTAGGTACCGGGGAGGACTCCCTGGCTTCTGCTGGTACCAGTGTATATTGTAGCCACCAACACTGATGCCACTGCGCAAGGTGCAGGTGAGTCTGACTGATGCTCCAGGAGATGCTGAGAGGGAGGCCGGCTGAGTCAGCACAGGCTGGGAGAGGGAACCTAGAAATACAGGCATTTACAGGTTTTAAGGCAGAAACTAGAGTAACATGTTTTAGGGATCTTTGACAGAAGAGTCACAATCAGGCTGGGTGGCTGGCCCTGATCTCTGAGGCCTGTTCCTACCTGTGCAGTGAGAGAGGAGCAGGAGGAGGAGAGGAGTCCAGGCCATAGTGGACACAGCCTCTTTCCCCGCAGTGGGACTGGGCTACCCCAGGCCTCCTTTTCTTCCCACCCTCTGCAGAGGAGGGGCTGCTCATGCAAATGTGTTTCCACCCAGGGACTGCCCAGCCCCTCCCTGAGCCCTGGGGATGCAGCTCAGCTCACTCTGTAGACTGAGCGGGAGGAAGATTTGCTTTTCTTCTTGCAAGGCCCTGGGAGGAAACACCTGTTGAGACCATACACAGGTCCCTGCTCAGGGATCTCTGCCAGGCCAGAGGGGACACAGCTACCAAGTCCCCATCAGTGAGCACAGGGCCCAGCCCCCAGGCCTGGATTTCTTTGAGTGAATAGTAGTCATCCGATGCTGGTCCGGGAACACACACTTTCCCATGACTCAAGAGACTTCAGAAGCCAGCTGGTCTCTGCAGCTCTCCAGTCACTGTCTGTATTCACATCTCCATGGTCTGATTCCTAGACACTGCTTCTCTTATGCTATGCATTGTTACTGTGACTTCTCACTCCCAGAAGTAGTCTAGGTCTGTGGGATGTGCACACATGTACATATATAACTATTACAGGTGTCAGCACCCCTGCATGGCGTTCTAGAAAAATCTAATTGCCCATGTGCCATCAGGGTGGGCATCACGGAAAAGGAGTCAGCTGAGGAGCTGGGTTGAAGAAAAGCTAGGGGCTCTTTAAAAGGATGGTGAAAATGAGAATTTTCCAGGAAAAATAAATGATCCATCAGATTTCAAAGGCAGCAGTTCAGCAAAAGTTATACATACAATCGTTTTGTATGTTTTATAGAGATTTGACTTAATTTAGTAATGTAGGAAAATTAATAGATTTGGTAGACTTACCTTTACCAGTGAGCAGTGTGACGTATTTCTCTGTTTTATGAAGTTAGCCATTAGCTCCCTAAGTAAAACTTGTCATTGTCTACACAGTTGTGTCATATTTTTTGGTCAAGAATTTGTCCTAGATCTTATACAATTTGTTTGTATTGTGATGTTGAAATATGTATTTTTTGACTGGATGTTTTCAGTTTATTAGAAAGATCAGTATGTATTTTTCCCCCAAAGTTGTCTTGCAAGTGAGAAGACAAGGGCAGAGACCATCACTTCTCAATGTAGCCGCGTCTACTCTTGTGCTAACTGTGCAAATGGTCCCTGGATTTCCAGACTCACAAGGTGCTTTAGTGAATAATGTAGAATCAGTATCACTCACTTTTCTCAGGCGCTCCTTCTCAAGGCATTTGGAGAGATCCCTCTCATTCAGATGAGGCAGGGAGGGCACTCCCTGGCTTAAGCCCCTTCAGTAACTCCTCATTTTTATAAAACCTGAGCCCTGAGGCCTCTGCAGCCTGCCCTTCACACTGTGGCCCCTGCAGACCCCCGCAGCCCAACTCACAGCCCCTCCTCTTACTTTTAGGGCTCCAGACTCACTCACCTCTCTGTCCTGGGAAACCCTGAGCTCCTGTCTTTTCCACATTCTCCACACCAACTTCTCTGCCTTTTCCACATTCTCCACACCAGCTTCTCCTCTCCCTGTTGGGAGAAGATGGGCTTCTACTTGAAGCCACAGTGTAAGCTTACATTTTGTCCACATTGTACACCTGTTAAAAGCAGAACATAAACATCTCATCACAAACAAGGATATTTTCAACACTGGTTAGCATGGGAACTTTTGATTCCTACAAATGTACAGATAGTTTTCTAGTGAATTGTTTGTACCCCTCAGCCAGCTTTGACCATCATCAATGTGGTTCGTACTGTTTAACTTTTCAACACCTGTTACCCAGCAACTTACTCCCTCGTTGGATGATTTTTACAACAGATCAACGAAGAGGTATCATATCATTGGTACATAAATTAACAAATATATACATTTGAAGTGTTCCACAATTCTTGTGCATTAAATCAACAGATTTCAAGGACTCTCACATTAATTGATGTTTTTTAATCATCCATGTCTAAAGTTAATTTATTGTAGGAATTGGGAAACTGAAGGAAGTACAATGAATGCTATGATTTGCAGATGCAGGACTCACAGCATTGCATATGGGATTAGAATAAAGTCCAGATGGGCACCTACATTCCTAATTATTTCTTGGCTTTACCCAGTTGTCCTAGTGCAGAAATATCTCTTCTGTGGACACAGAGCTCACAAACCCATCATTCTTCCTTCAAGAATTTCCTCATCAAAGTCTACTATGGGGCTTACGGTTGATGAGTCTATTGTTTGAATTGCATTGATCGTATGGCTGATTGCAAGCTCTGTAAGGAATATTTTGTTGAAGGATGTCTAATGTAAAGTTTCTTAGTTATATGAATATTACTAGACATTTTTCCAACTCACCCATATTCTGCAGTTTATTTGCTCTTGAGGGTTTTCCGTCCCCAGAATTTGGTTTATGATCTACTGGCTTCCTGTGGTTTTCTAAGCAGGACTGGGAAACCCCATCACACCCCCTCCACTTTCTCCACATGAACCCATGGGATCCAGCATATGTGGATCCATGGAAATCAGACCATAAATGAGTGAACAGAGGCCATGATTGGCAGCTGCAGAGACCAGCTGGGCTCTCAAGTCTCTGGGCCATGGGGAGGTACATGTGATACATTTGTATTTTCATATCCATATTCTTCTCCTGCTAACCAAATCCAAAGGAAAATGTTCTCTCTTAATATCTTCTATTAAATGAATTTGGAATCTCAAATACAAAATATCCAGAGTTTTTAAAAAATTACTATCTTGACTTCAGATCAGTACTTCTTTTTGGAATTCCAATGTAGGTGAATACACTACATTGTATTACATGTTTATTAAACATGTATTGAGTCTGTCCTTAGCGCCAGGCAGCGTTTTGGACTCTGTAGCTATAGCAATCACAAGACAGAAAACAGCAAAAACTACAATGGAGAATCTCATGGAGGTTGGATCTCAGCAGGGGAAACACAGCGAACAGAGTCACTAACTGTAAAGAAACATCTTCATGTGGCTGATCCCACCCTGACAAGTTACTCACTCTGAGGATTTGAGCCCATTGCTGACAGCTGAGAGACCTGCATTTCTATAATTCTGAAGAATGGATTGACTTGTTCAGAACTTGATGGTGTTATTCGACTATGTGTGTTATAAATAATCCTGTGTAAACAGAATGCGGTCATTATTCTTGGCCTCATTAATGGCTGGGATCTTACTGTAGGTCAGAGGTAAAACAGAATATTCCCATCCTCCAGAGGAATTCCCCAGGGTAACTAGACAGCTGAGTGTGAGGAGATAGCTTTGTCATCACATAACCTCCCTACTGCTCCCTTTGGGATGGAGAAAGAGCAGCGGAGACACCACAGCCCTGGAAGTCTGCCCTGGGAAGGTGGCAGGGAGGAAGGAAGGTAAAGAGAAGGGTGAATAAGGATGCCTGGGCAGGGGTTGGACCTCCTTTTCTTGCCCGGACACAGAATCCTGCCTTTCCACTGCTCTCTGGCTTTTTAATTGACCTTTACGCCCACCTATCGCTGAGGAAGCCACAAACACCCTGCCCCATAATGACAGCTTGGGAGCCTTTTGCCTGTGCTGGGCCTCAGTCCTCAGTCTCTTGCACCTGCACAGACTGCAGATCGGTGTTCTCCCAAATCAGCTACTTCAGCACTGACACCTCGGCTCTCATGGTTTCTGACAGAGCTCTGAGAGGTTTGATCGTGAGCTTTAACAGCAGCTCCTTGAGTGTGAAGGGCATCATCCCACGTGCTCTACAATGCTCTGTCCTGACCCTTGGGGCTTTTGCTCCATAGAAAGTAACTAGAGATGTGGTTTGATTGCATGCAAAGTAGCCGCTGAGCTAAATGCAGCACACCAGCATGGCACATGTATATATATGTAACCAATCTGCACACTGTGCACATGTACCCTAGCACTGAAAGTATAATAAAAAAAGAATTAAGAATAATATAAATAAAAACAGCAAATATATATATATATTTGCTTCATATATATATTTATATACATACACCTATATATAAGTGTGAGTGTATATATATACACCAATATATATACACATATATATATGAAGAAATTAAGCAGGTCTCTTTTCAGGTGTGAAGAGTGATGGTTCACATTAATCTTATTGAATAGAAGGGAAAAGCAGCAATGAGTGCTGAGTCCTATGAGCTTTCCAGAGAGAAGAGGAGCGTGACACACTCGATCACAGCTATAGACTGTTGTCAGGTTTCCATTACAGGGACACACTCAGGGCCTCAACCATTCGCCTCTTTCCTCTAGTCCTTCTCACCATGGTGTGGGTCACACACATTCCTCCCTCCTCCCAGTAAAGCTGCCACATTACTTTCCAGAGACCTCATTTCTCATGTGTACAAAGCCACCATGTCCTAACTGGACCATCTGCCTTCACTCAGTCCCCTTCTTTTTCATCTTCCTTAGAGAAACTGGACTTTTTTTCCTCCTGAATCTCAAACCAGAGTCTGTGTCTTCCTTGCTTCCAACCTACTAATGGCTTCCTGTTGCTCACCATCTTCTGGCTCACGTCACCTCTTGTATATCTCACAATACCCCCTCTTCCCATTTTTGTTGGTGCTTACTCTTCTGTGAGGCATTATCCCTGTAAAGACAGGAACCTTGTCTGTCTTGTAAACTGTGCATCCTGAGCCCTCTCCTAAGCCTGACACATAGTAGATGTTTAGTAGACAATAAGGATGAACAGACCTTTGCATTAGTGCACATGCCTGAGGCAGACCCAGCTGGATTCTGTCCCTGCTTAATCTGACTCATCCTGAGTCTGTCCCCAGGGCAGGTTGTTCTTGGAATCAAAGACTATCTGATTTTTTTGAGGCAGTCTGACAATGCTGTTGCTAAGGGCTTCCTCTGATGGCTGGCTCTGAGAGAACAAAGCTGTATTCTCTAGGTCACTGTCCCTGAACTGAGTATTGTGCCTTGGTTAGCAGTAGCACCAAGAAACATCCACACAAATGGTAAATAGACCAGCTGTCCTGGTTGTGGGAGATTCTGTTGGAAGATCATGCTCCTAGGAGATCTGATGTGTTGCCATCTCCCTTCCCCAGACTGCAGCACTGTTTGGACCTCCTGGAGGCTGTCTGAAGCCAACAGGAGTGACTAGCCTTGTCCTCAGACTGAAGCCCAGAGATGCGTAGGAAGGCCTCCTTGCAAGACTGATGGCCTGAGCATCCTTCCTCGATCCCTGCAGTCAGATATTGACTTCTATGAATCAGCAGTTTGGAGGCACTTCCTGGTCATTGTTGGTACCAGGTCACAATTCCAAGAACCTTATTGCTGCTGCTACCAGTGCAGGAGATGGTGACTGGTTTAGCCACAGAGAGACAGTCCAAGCTACCAAATGAGCCCTGATTGCCCAGTACTGTGAGAGTCAGGAGAGAGACACAGGGTGAGGGAGATGGCTCAGTGCACCAGGGGAGCAAAGCAGAGCCCTGGTCCTCCTAGTGCCAGTCCCTGACTCCCTGTCTCCAGCCACCTGTGCAGCAACTGAGGAGGGTGAGGGGGGAGTGCAGGCCATGGTGGAGATGTCTCTAGAGCTCTGCTTCCTGAGCCACACAGATTAGGGGGAACAACGCCTCTTCCCTGGCCTCTCTTGGAGGAGGAGACTTAATGCGAATCTATCCTGACCCCTGGCTGTGCCCCTCATATAAGATGCTGAGTCTGGTTATTCTTTTTGAGGAGTGGGTGGTTGGAAGTTGGGAGAGTGTTTTCCCATCACTGTCCAGGAAACCTGGAAGGACATGGCTGCTGAACCCAATGAACAGTAAAGGGAAACAAGGAGACAAGTGTCTGGTTTCCAAGCTGAGATCAGCCGTGAACTCACTTCCCAGGCTGCCAGAAATCCATGGGTCTCTCTTCCTATTTGATTCCTCACTCGATCAGCACATGAGGGAGAGTGCTGGAGCTTGGGAAGAATCAGCCTACTTGTGTGGTTCACTGGCTTCACTGCAAATGCAGAAAACCCCAGGAATCAGGAGAGAGTGCTGGCTGAGGTAAAATATATATATATAAAAATATAAAAGAATTAGCCAACTTTGAGCTTCTTCAGAACTAAGGGTATCAGAGAGTTTGAGAACTGCGCTTCTAATACAGGCATGAAGACATAGTATGTAGTTTGGGATATAAATTGTTCCTCATACCTGAATCTCTTATGCTCCAACTATCATGAACAGGAAAGTTTTGTTTCTCTATTTTGTGCATTGGGAAGTCAGAAATAATGTACTCAAGACATTGCATTGAGAAGCACACGCATTTTCTCTGACCTCACAAAATCCACAGAAATGACCCGGAGTGTTTTCATAATAATATCATCTAATGTCATTGTCTGACTAGCAAACAAATGGAATGACTTAAAAGCTAGAATACTTCACTGGTACTCAGTTCAAAATACAATGATCAACTATTACAATATTTTATCCTTTTAAGCACATGGAACACTACCTACATTAACTTTAAATGACAAGGGCATCAAGGTGCATCAAACCAGAGGAATGAGCACAAGGTTTAATCACCACTGTGCAAATAATAAAAACAGAAATTAAAAAATGCATCCAAATGAAGAAAAGTCCTTATTCTGATTGCTTGCAATAAGGTAGCTTAGCAGAGAACTTGGTGATTTTTTTTTTACCCTAGCACTGAAAGTATAATAAAAAAAGAATTTATTATTTCCAGACTGTCTCTTATACACATCTTTTTTGATTTTATATAATAGTCATGTATTACTTTGAAAGTAACTCAGTAAAATAAATTTGAATAATATATACATAGAGAGTTTATTCTCTTTGCTCTTAGCTCAGAAAGCCCATTGTTTGAAGAAGCTTCTTTCTGGAGGAAATGTATTTAGACTCAGCCTTTGGATCTGAACCTGCTGTTTCTGTTTTTTTGTTTTTAATATAAAACAATTTTTTCTTGTTCTAATTCAATTACAGCAAATCGCTCTCACATTTCCTCCACTTCAAGGCACAAGCAGAGATAGAAATCAACTCAGACCCTTTCCTTCCCCTTTCTATGGCTGCTCCCCATGTAGTCTGTCTTGGGAGCCAGCGTGTCTGATCATGTGATCTCCACATCACAAGGGCCTCGGGCTGTCTCTTATACACATCTAGATGTGTATAAGAGACAGCCACTATAGTGCAGCCAGCAGTAATACTCAGCCTCGTCCTCGGGCTGTGCACCTGACAGTGTCAGGGCAGCTTTACCCCCAAGGAGGGAGCCTGAGAACCGGGCAGGGGTCCAGGAGTGTTTGTAGTTTGTATTATA